GTGTTGTCAGCAATAGCAATCTACCGAAGAACAAGTAACTTACGGTCGTTTTGTTCAGGCTCATTTCGAACTGGTCGTAGTCCTTCCACAGGTCTGTAAGCGCAAACATGGGAACTGTGATGGCGCGATGGTAGGCCTTGCGCAACTGGTCCATCTTCTGCTGATCCTGCCAACCGCTGCCTCCGACCTGGCCTGGGCCACTCTTGATAAACTGGATGTAGTCCTTCCACAGTTGACCCGAGTCACGATCAATGCCAACAGAAGCAATCACAAAATCGTAGGACATGCTCAAGATTCGGCGAGACTCCCCGTTGGGATCGTTGTTTAAATCGTATCGTCTGCGGATGTAGTTGAGGTATACGGTCCAAAGCTTAACATTGGGCACATTGACCAAGGACCTGCTGAAAAGCGCTTCGGCGTCCTGGAAGCGGTTGGAGTCCAACTCGAGCTGTGCCCAGTCGGCCCAGATATCGGCCTGAATTTGCGTTAGTTTGAAACCTCGCTGTACACAAGCAGATTTCCACTTACAGCCTGGGGGAAAACCTGGAGGAATCGCTCATAGGCAGCGCGCAACTCATCCAACTGGTCATAGCGTCGATGCTCGGCGAACAATGCGAGCCACGCATCCATATCCCCTCTTGGATCCTCCTGCACGCGGTCCTCCAAGATGCCAAAAGTATCGTTCGGGTCTCTGCTGGAAACAGACTGCACTGCTGGAGGGGGTGGCGCCTGCGCCGTACTCGATGCCGCACTTGGCGCTCGCACGGGGACACCCTGGCTCGCCTGCTCTGGAGTGGCGCTCACTTGGCCTTGGACAGGAGTAGATGCAGAAGGGAAAGGAGGGTTTTGTGCAATGGGAGTCTGCGTGGCAGGAACAGCAGGAACAGCGTTCGATGCTGGAGTAGGCGCATCTTCCTCCTCGTCATCGGAGTCTCCCACTAGGAAACCTCCCTGTGTTTTGGGTTTGCCTGATTTCGACTTGATGGATGTGGAAGCGGTAGGAGTTGGGGTTGATTCGGCGGGGGGATTGGGCTCTGCGGTCTCTGGAACTGAAGTTATCGCGACCGACTCTGGGTCATATTCGCCAGCATCTTCTGAGTCACCATTCGCAGCTTGTTCAAGTGGGAAGGCAGGATCTTGACTTTGTTCGTCGCTATGCTGTATATCATTTGTTTCTTCATATCCATCTTCTCCCCAAGACGCACCCTCGAATTGTTGGTCGTTCTGCGGGACTTCGGGATCCATTGCGATGATGGGCGCTCCGAAGAATCTGTGTTGTAGTTTCTCGCAATGATCACAATACGAAGCTCTTAACTGAGAACCTCAATATCAATTGACTTCGCCGTGTGGCGCTTGTCGTGGTAGCTATGAGCTACCAGGTCGTCCTAGGCGCGAAGACACTGGGTATTGCGGGCGAGGAAGGCGTGTTCCGGCTCGTAGAAGATCGATAAACGGTCGCGAAAGAAAGTTTTGAAAGAGTCCAGTCGTTCGTAGTCGGCTATCGAAGGTCGCTGATGGCTGCGCGGGACAGTGAAGCTGATGATGTTGGCTACCTGTAAGACGGAACGGGTCGCAAAATTGGAAGGTTGCAGCTTGTTGGCAATGTGAAAGATTGGAGGAAAGTAGACGCCGAAACCAGGCTAGCGTGGTTTGGCGGTGACCTGGCAAAAGTTCGGCTGGATCGAGCTCCGACGGATAAGACAATCTTATCGATAAGGAGTGTCTGGCACCTGCCCGACTTCCACTTTGACCTACCTTAGGTAAGGTAAGGTAAGGTAAGGTACCTAAGGTACCTGGACATACCTTACCTATGCATATTTCGGCGTTCAAGAAGATCAAAAACTTACGTCAGCCTCAATGTTTTGACTATACTGGCACATTCTAGCTACATAGGGTCTTTCCATCTAAGTGAAGTATCCGTCGGGTTAGGTAAAGTAGGTAAGGCAGGCAAAATAAGAATGAAAGGCATCAGCCATCTCCAAGCCTCGCTTTGTGTGGCTGGGAAGGTGGACAGGAACTTGACAGGCACACGGACGGGCGCGAGAGCCGAAAAGGGCTAGCCTTGACGTGAAGACCACTTTACGCGAAATTCGCGGTAAGGGGAAGGCAGGCGCGTCCCAGGCCCACGTCGTTGTCCCGTTGCCATTGACGAGCCGAGCCTTCTTCTTCCATCTCGCTCGCCGCAAAACAATCCCACCTTCTCAATACACCAACTCCACCCACCACTTCAGACCGACGTTCACGCAACGAATTTCTTCTCAACTTTCCTTTGCTCGCAGTCGCGCAGACTTTCCCTCTACATCCATTACCACATACTCAACCAAGACTTCATCGCCCCTTTCACGATGTCGATCGTCTCGCTTCTGGGCGTTAAGGTTCTGAACAACCCCGCCAAGTTCACGGACAAGTACGAGTTCGAGATCACCTTCGAGTGCTTGGAGTCCTTGGAGAAGGGTAAAGAATCCATTCGGAAGACAGCCATGATCTCACGTTTTTCTAATCAACTTTCAATCAGATCTCGAGTGGAAGTTGACCTACGTTGGTTCTGCGACTAGGTTAGTTCAACGTGGAATTTTTCACCACGTTCACCGCCATTCGCTGACAGCCAGACAACAGTGATCAGTACGACCAAGAGCTCGACAGTCTTCTCGTCGGGCCCGTTCCCGTCGGTGTCAACAAGTTCATCTTCGAGGCCGATGCGCCCAACACTTCCAGAATTCCCGACGCCGACATTCTGGGTGTCACTGTGATCCTCCTGACCTGCGCTTACGACGGTCGCGAGTTCGTTCGCGTTGGCTACTATGTCAACAATGAGTACGACTCTGAGGAGCTCAACGCCGAGCCCCCCTCCAAGCCCATCATCGAGCGAGTCAAGCGCAACGTTCTCGCTGAGAAGCCTCGTGTGACCCGCTTCGCGATCAAGTGGTACGTTTTCGTAGACATGAGGGGAAAACAAGAGGCGACAGAATAGTGGAGCTAACTGGGAGCCTTAGGGACAACGATGCCGCCGCCCCCGCCGAGTTTCCCCCTGAGCAGCCCGAGGCTGACCTCGTGCCTGACGAGGATGAGTACGGTGCTGAAGAGCGTGACGAGGAGGAGGAGGCCGAGGCTAGTGGTGCCAACGGCGAGAAGCCCGTTGGTGAGGATCTCGAGATGGCCGGTGTCGAGAACGGCGAGGGTGAGGCCGTTCCTGCGGAGGAGGACGAGATGTCGGATGACGGCAGTGTTGATATCGAGGGCGAGAGCGAGGACGAGCTGGAGGAGGAGGGCGAGGGCGAGGGCGAGGCTGAGGCTGCCGATGACGACGCCATGGACGTCGACACCGGTGACAAGCCCGTCGCTGTTGCCGGCAAGGCCTAGGAGGTCGCTACTCACTAGGTGACGCCTGTCGAGAGATGTTTTGACGCTTTTGCCCATACCCCCATTGTTTTGCCGACCCAGAAGTTATTCGACTAGAATTGCGCAGGATGGCGGTTTACACGAAGAATACGACCTGGATGATGATTGCATAAGGTACCCGAACTATTCAGTATAGATGATGTGGTTTGGAGAGGGACCAAGTGCAGAAGGGACTCGATCCTAGTAATTAGATGCAAAAGATACCTTTTCCTGTGTGCCTATTGGACTCTTCCTGTTGACCTAGATGCGTGTCGAAGCGAGTCACCATTTTTCTACTTCCAAGGTTTGTAGTATTAGTTCCAACCCCGCGGTGGGAGAGATAAGAAAAAAAAAAAAGTGAATGCCAAGCTCCATGAAACGAATCCCGACGACACGATCTAGCGTCTTCTTCTGCATCATGCGACTGAGATTGAGACATTTTCAAACGGGCTTGCGAATTCCATCCTCTCCAGACCACACTAAGGCACCCCAGCAACCAGATGCCTCTCCCGCGCCCCTTGTCCACCCCTCCCCCCTCCGCCTCCTCAGGTTGGGTTTGAATGATTGCATCTTAACGCACGTGAATTCTCCTTGGCGGCATTCATCTGTCAGCAGCACAACGCCATTGACAACCGCCAAGGCAGCAGCCATCGCCAATCAACTTTCGATTACAACTCACACGATCACACGCCGTAGGCCGCGAAAAGCCGCTCCTAGTGGCCGGCGCCGGACGACACCCCATCGACAGCCCTGCTTTCTTGGTGATCGCTAATCGACTCCGACGACTCATGCTCAAAACTAACCTCACCTCGGTGACTCCTCCAGCTCCAACCCCACGTTGTATCTTCTTTACCCTGCCCCCCCCCCCCCCCCCCCCCCCCCCCCCCCCCCCCCCCCCCCCCCTCCCCCCCCCCCTCTCCCCCCCCCCACCCCCCCCCCCCCCCTCCCCCGCCAAAAACCACCCCCCCCCGGGGCCCCCCCCCCCCCCCCCCCCCCTTGTTTCTTCTTTTCCCCCCCCCCCCCCCCCCCCCCTTCATTCGCTCCCTTTTCCCCGGCATGCATTCTCAAGTCCCGTCTCCCTGCGTCACACCACACATTCGGGGCGCACAGAGATGCATACGGGGAACACATCCGTACCCACCAATCCGGTCCAGTGGCCGAAAAGCTTGGGTTCGGTGATGTCGGCCGATGTTCGCACGCACGCACCCCCCGGACCCATGAAGTCATCTCGAGACGGGACTATCACTTGCCGGCCTTCGTCTCTCCCGCGCGCATGCTCGCACACACCGAAGACACCGCGCCGTACCTTTGAGTCCCTAGGCTCCGCAGCTCAGCCGCATTTGGGGTCGATCTTCTTGAGTGAGGGGAACGTCCTGGCTGCCTAGGCTAGTGATTGTGGTGTAGCTGGAGATTGCCGATGGCACAGTATCCTGATTTCGGATGTCTTGTCGGAGGTCCAGGGCAAGGCAGGCTGTGCATGTTAGTGAGTAGAAAAGGGCCGCTGTTCTAGGAACGAGCTGCCCAGTTGATTCTCTTTTCTTGATTCATCATCTTTACAGAGTCACCTGCTAAATCTTTCTTAAAATATACTTGATTCGACAGACTTGTTTTCGGTCCCTGCTATGTCAACCCGGAGCCCTGAGGAGCTGCTCAAAGCAGTCGAGGCAAGCCACGACCAATACCTCCGTAACTTACGAAGTCTACATGACTCCCTGGCTAGTGCCGCGAGAGACAGATCAGATACCAGGACAACAAACAACGCTCGCCAGCCATCCCCCCTCCTACAACCTTCTCCAAGCCCCGTCCAGAGTCCAGGGCAGAGTCCACCGCTTTCATCGGAAGCAACCTTTCAGCCTGCTCTTCGCCGTGCCCGCCGCTCAACCTTTTCAGACCCTATCGAGAAGCGGACACTGTCCAGCGTCGTGGAGAGAAAGCACGTACCGGCCTCCATCCACTCTGAGCTAGACGTCGAGTATCTTCCCTTACTTGACATTGCAGGCCCTCGAAGTGTCAACAGTTCAGATGGGACCCTCACAAGCCCTCCCACAAAACTAGTTGAGCGCGTATCATGGACGGACAATCAACTGCTACGCCATCTCAAGTACACTGACTTCACCGGTGGCGCCGCTATTGCGCTCACCGATGTGATCAAACGGCAAGCCGACATTGACGAGGATGCGGTATTCGAGGAATTCGCTGCATATGAAAGCCAGGGGTACGTCAGTTCAACCTTTGAGCTGTACGATGTCGACAAGGAAGGATCACCTAGACCCGTGGGCAAACACCCAGACCGCCGTCCTCGAGGCGCCGCAGCCGACGCAGCTCCAACTCCTACTCAGATCGTCGACGCCCCGACGGTGTGGAACGCCCTCAAAGAGATTCACGCCGATGGCCAGGCCGTAGGTCTCGTAACGATCCTACAAGAACCGTCAGCTCTCATGCTCGGCGCGCTACATATGACGATGCGCCCATACTTCGACATGACGGAGCTCCTCAACCATCTCATCACAGACCATGGGAACAACGGCAAGACGACGGCCCACGTCCATCGAGCCTTTGCGAAGGATGCTTCGCCCTCGCATCTCCGCCAGCGCAGCTTCTTCTTCGTTTTCAAGTACTACACAGTCGTAGGCGAGGGCCTCGAACCAGCCCCCTTTCAAAAGTACGATAAACGCCCCGCGGACCGCCGCTCAAAGGACCACATCGACATTGCAGAATGCAGCTCCATCCTCGCCCTCTCCCTCTCCGGCCCGCCACGCCAATCCGTGAAACAGACCCGCCGCCGCGAGGGCCCGCAAGAAGGCTTCCTCTTCGACACGTTCGCGCCGTGGCACCTGCTTTCGATCCAGTCCTTCCCAGACGACGAACACACCCTCCGCGGCGGCGACGCCGAGGCGCACAAGAACTTCCCCTCGGGGCCCTACGCCTTCCTGGACGCCCTGGTGACCGAGTACCGCGACGCGACGAAGCGCAACCTGGCCCTCCACGCCCGCATCGCGAAGCTCATCACCCCGCCGACGGACTTCATGTTCGACGCCCGCCTGCGCGACAAGCTCCTCTTCGAGGACAAGCACTTCACCTACATCCGGCGGTACTTTTGGGCCTACAACACGCTGGGTGTCGTCAACGAGGGCCTGCGCGCCATGCTGGCCGCCTACCGTGAGACGTTTCCCGACGACTTCTGGGAGGGGAGGCACCAGACGCTGTGGCCGCACCCGGCGCCGGAGAGCCCCGAGGGCGCGGCGTACCGCGACAAGATGGTGCTCCTGCGGTCCGACCTTGAGCGCGCGTGTCGGGACCTGGAGACGGTGCACGCCAAGAATGCGGCAACGCGCAAGGAGATTGAGAATCTGCGGGACCAGCTCTTCAGCGGGAGCTCCATCAAGGAGTCGAGGAGGGCAATCGAGCAGGGGGATAACATCAAGGTCCTGACGTTGGGGTCCATGGTGTTTTTGCCCTTGACCTTTGTGACTGTAAGTTGCAATCCCACCTACCTCTTATTTCCCCTCAACGTTCTTATACTGATGCATCCAACCTCTCACAGTCAGTCTTTGGTATAACAGAGTTTACAATCTCACCAGAGGACTGGAGATTCCCCGTGACAATGGTCTGCGTCTGCGTACCCTTCATCGTGGCTCTCATCCTCCTGCAGACGCGCGCGGGGTACTCGCTCGCGAGGCACACCTTCGCCGCGCTCGCCTGGCCGTTTCGACTCTTCACGGACGCCGTTGCGGATGAGCAGTTTACCCCGGCCGCCGTCATCATGCCCACGACGGAGACGAGACCCAGGAGGAAGAGGCGGTTGACGGGCCGTCGACCCCCTCCGACACGTTCGCCACGGCACCAGCAGCAACCGCCGCACCAGTACCAGCGTGGCAATGATTTGGGGTTGATACAGTCTTTCATGGGGTGGTGGACGTGGGTGAGGAAGAATGGGATTCGCAGGAGCGGCGGTGAGCGTGGTGACGGTTCGGCGTTTGGAAATGTGTGAGGTGGTTTTTGATTTATTGAGATTTCTATAGTTGTTAGATACCCCCTTTTTACGTTTCGAGACCGTCAATCTACTACATACAACACTACAAGAATTAGATGTGAAGGCTTGTTTCCTGAGTGCCAGCCCAGCCTCTCCAGAATGGTCGGACTCTGGGGCCCGGCCAGGGACGGAGGCCTTTCTTTCTACTGGCTCTACGCACATCTCAATGTCAAAAGTCGCCGGGCACACAACACCGGACATACTGACAAGTATTCAGCTATTGCCAAGCTCGATCAGAGAATCAATCAAAAGCCGACTTCGACACATGCAAGAAGCTGGGCCACGTTGGGATTCGACACATCAATCACTGCTTCCCTTTTCCAACCGAGCAAAGCGGGTTTGGCCCGGCTTGAGCAGCCTGTTGTTCCCCGAGTATATCTGACATCACCCATAAAGCATGGCAACGAAAAAGTCTTTCATCCTCGATCTGGATTTCCCGAAACCTGACTGCCACATTGAACCCCTCAAAGAAAACGTATCTCAAGCCCCGTCCCAATCTCAGTGGAAACCTGATCCTCTATTCCAGTCAGAACGATTACGCCAGCACGCTTACCTGTCTCGACAGCTGACACGAATCGTCACAACATCACTTGCTCTACAGTGAAGTCTCCTAAAGAGGGTGACTTCCCTTACCCCCCATTGATGCGCCAACCCGACCATGTTCTGGAAAAAAAGATTTGACTCGTATGGCTTTGATGGCCGTGGTCCCGATTTCTCACATCTCCACCTGCCCGGAACCTCGGGAATCATACCACGCTGAAAATGTCAAAGGCGAGAGATCTCATGACCACCCCTGATGCCATCTTCCACGAGCAAAGAATCGAAACAAAACAACGAGAAACAAACAACATGTTCTTGAACAACAAAAAGGCGAGTAAGAGAAGGACCGGCGAGCAGGGATAACTGAACAGCTTCTTTGTCTCAGTCACCAGATCGCCAATCTTTGTACTCCGTCAAACAGCGTCACCTCGCCCGGTTGCTCGTTCCCTCGATGTCGCAAGTCCTTCCTCCATCCCGTTCTGTTCTCCCGCTTCGTCGTTTCCGTCATCTCGGTAACCTCTAGGAGGGGAGTCTTAGATACTTTGAAGGAGGCGAGGTCACATCCGTTTAGATCAGGGTCAACCTTTGCTTGCGCGACGTCTCTGTCTACTTTGGCGGGTTGAATCTAGTCCATTTGTACTATGTCTGGAAGACCAAAATGCCGCTGGCCACAAATTCACACGACACATTATTGGGGACGAGGGGCCGGAAACAGAATCTCTTCCTCTTCCTCCTCCTCCCTCTTTCCGCCCCTGTCAAAGCCTGGCTTGTCACCCGACTGAACCCATGTCGCCGATCAAGAGCCCCCCCCAAGGCTCTAGGATTTTCTGCCACACGTAACAGAATTTCTGACCATCGTCATTTCGACATTCGCTATCTGCGACGAGCCTGAGCCTTCTTGAGATGTGAGCACTACGGATACTCCGTAAGCAGATTCGGAAGAAGAGAGCAGCTCCCCCCCCCCCCCCCCACTCAGGCCATGTAAGCCAACCACTCCGAGTCCTCTTCTCCCGAGTCCTCGGAGGGGGCCCGCCGGGTCGGGGTGGGCTGACCGTTTGTGCACTAGGTTCGAGTACCCCGCCGCAGTAAATGGCGACCGGCCGAGGAGGCGTAAGAATTTATGGGTGCTGGAAAAGATCTACGATTGTTTCCCCCCTGGGTGCTCCACATGAAGTAGAAGAAGCCAGCCGTTGCTCTCAAAAAATGGCCGATATCCCTGCTCGCGCTTTGCTTCAGAGTTGTGGATCTCTCCTCCCAGCCACCCGTTTTTACAAGAGAGTTCATGATATACTATCCGTGCTGTACGGATACGGAAGCTTGCTTGTCAGTCCGCTGTTGCGTGAGGGCTTCCTACTGAGCTACAGCCGAGCAGTCTGACGTACAACTCTTAGCCAGGCCTCGTCAAGAGATCTACGTTGGCGCAAGAAATGCGGCGACGTCGGCGGAGATTAAGGAAGGCCCCCTCCTACAGGGTTCTCCGGGGGTAGGGCGCGGGAAGTGACAGCTGTCGAAGAGAGCTTTGACGTCGGACGCCTGCAGATGGGTTTGCAAACCGACAATGGCGGTTTCTGTGCTCCCGTACCCTGTACTCCTGTACCTCGGGGAGAGAGGGCGGGAATGCCGTGTAGCTGTGGCAGATCGTGACTGAAACATTTGTGATGGCGCTGTTCAACATGAGAAAGTCGTCTAGTTTCGTTTCTGTTGTGGACATGTCACCTGCCATTGAACAAGCGAGGCGACAGGCCGTGTAAGTTGAACCAAGTCGATGGATCATCAGGAAGCCTAGAATTAGGATCAGGACTCTCGGTAGTCGCAATCTAACCCATCAGGCCGCCAGCCAACGATACGAACTACATAGCGAGTTAGTCCCATGAGCTTGTTTGAAGAGGCTAAACGAGTCGAGTGAATCATGTGTCCCTTCTAGAGGATCGTGGTTTGATAAGTATTATGTCTATTCGTAGATCTAGCGGTTTGCAAGGCAGAGCGTAAAGAACGACTAACTGATGATCTTGCTAAGGATACGGGCTGTGTCCTTTTCATGAATCCGACCATCCCATGGAATAGTCGCCGATTGGGCGAAAATACTGCTAAATGGCTGCTGCGCTGTACTAGAATACGGGATGATCTCGATCTTGGACTGGATCTTGTATCGTGTGGGTGGTGCTTTGATGTTGTCCAGTTCATTTCTCGCATCGCACAGACAGCATCGCGGGAGGCAGATCCGCAAGGGCAGCCATGGCTTGGCGTAATTCGATTGGCTCATTAACGACGACAGAAGCACCTCGGGATCTGACACTGACAACCTGACAATGATAGACGTCGTTACCAGTTAAGCCATCCTGGTGTGGAATAGAGAGGCCCTTCCTCTCTAGCTGTCACAATAGGGAAGGGGGCTAAAGGGGGAAATGATTTCCCAATATAGCAACACCATCGGATCAAAAGGAGGACGGTGGCCGTTGACATTGACCGGAGCCGGGCTGGAAAGTCAGCAAGAAATCCGAGCTACAGTCAATAGTGGAAATCTTGTTCCTTGCCTACCAGCCAAGAACGCTCTGCTCGTGACCATTTCAACCCAGCAGGGCTAGATTAGTAGAGACAAGCCCCTGATTTTGATGACAGCAACGGGGTCATGGACTGTGCATCGGAGGCTTCGAACGACGGTTCCTGCAGAAGGGTCCATCAATCTAGTTCGCAAGGAGAAACGTCGTGTACGTTTTCTGCGCGTCACGCACTTTATTGCTAGCAAAACTTGGCGCGTAGGCGGAGCGTCGAGAACAGCCCCGAACGACGGTGGATCAATGTTCCCATCCGTCACGCGGCGTGTCTTGTCTTCGCTGTTCCTGGGACGAGCCAAGGTCTCTTTTGGACAAGGTCAGGAACAAGCCGAGCTGAAGCTAGGTATTGCCGGAACTCCCTAGAGGGGGCGATCCTCATGAAATCGCATCCTGTCCTCCCACGTGTCGCAGGCATGGGGAAATGAAGAGCATGGACCAGCTCAAGGCGGTGCAGACTTCAGTTCAGCCACAATCCCCCGCTGCTTTGGCAGCCTTTGTTCTATGCGGCGGATTCTGTGAGCTGCGTCTTTACATTCGACATGCTTGAAGGCAAGCCGCCCTGTAATGGCGTTGGCATCCGGTCCCAAGTCATTGTCAGGCCTGTCTGCACGCGGGCGGCTAAGACCCCTTTTCTGCTGACAGCGCGGCCAGGCGGCCGCGCCTGACCGACAGCGTCGAATCCGCGTCTGATGCGGCCAGATCTTGACGTAGACGTGCCACGGCGACCAGACTTTTGATTTGGAGGTTCGACAAGTCCAGTTGCGGGTATTCGTAGTTGAACTTACACAAGGGAGATGGCGACAGAATGCGTGTCGAAGAGGGTCGAAGGGCGCATACTTTCAAGAACGGACTTGCGCCCCTCGTAGACTCGCAGTTTGGTGACACAGAGAAGATCGGCAGCGAATCGGCAGTGAAGCGGTCTCACATCGACTAGACTAGGAGAGCACGGGATCCTTGGCGATGTACCGCTGGCGGGTTCAGCTGGATGATGAAAGGTTCCAGAAATCTGGCAACCGGTGTCAACTTTGAGACTTAGGCGCAGGCATTATGCTTCGCGAACAACAATCCCTTAATAACGCGTACGGGCCGCAGCGAGGGCCGTCGGGAGGCTCAGCGTCCCAAGGCCGGTACTGTGTATCCGTATGGGTTACTCAAGGGTATCGGAACTGCAGATATTTGAATTGATTTCCAGTTTTTGGTCAGGAGATTTATATCCCGTCCGATGATACAATGGACACCTGTACTCGTGTATATCGTTTGAAACCAAACAAGCCCGCTGAAGACATCGGATGTGATGAACGGATAGCGCGGTCGTAAAAGTTGATGATGACGAGTTGCTGTGTGGCTTGGAGCATCGCAGGGTTCAAGAGGTCCGTTCCACCCTCCAATGTCCGCGTCCGAAGCCGAAGAGAGGCGACAATCATGGGGAAACGGGGTCAGGGATACGGATTGAAGGATGCAGGAATTCCTGGATGGGCCGGGGACCACCGTAGCACGCGCCCGAGTCGATATCTTGTTTTTCTTTTTGGCTTCCCCTATTCCACATCCCGCTCAACCGCTCTCCGAACGGGCATGTGGGCCTTCTTGATGCGGTCAAGCGCGACCCTGCTCCTGAAATTGGTCCCTGTCGTTGTCTCTGGGGTGCAGACACTGACAATGTCAAATTCAAAAACGAAGTTGACAGAGGCACACCGGAGGGAAAAAGGAGGGGTGGTGCTCTCTGACATGCCGCTCGTTTGTTGTTGACGATGGCGCCGATTTTTACGAGCACACGGGCCGCCGACAGGCTCATCAATGCTGATTTAGGTCGGGAAGCCGATCAAATCAGGTGTGCATGAACCTTCAAGTTGCGCTGTCACAAAC